AATGCCCGACAGACCACTGCAACATTATCTAACACAGTGCACAGTTACAAACCCATTAAGATTTCAACTTAGATTCAACAGAGCAGAAGAAGTTGTTAAACACATGGGACAAAATCTTACTGAAACGACCATACGAGTCACAAATACTCATAAACCGCCTACATAAAACAGAAACAAGTAACATTTAATTAATGGGCCAGCCAGAGGGTTGCATCACAGCCTCTGCAGGAATATGTATGGAAAGAATACTCATGACAGCTTTCACCCAACAACAGCTTTTATCTGATGACTGCTTGCACTCGACGACTGCTTGCACTCGACGACTGCTTGCACTCGACGACTGCTTGCACTCGACGACTGCTTGCACGTGAGGGCTGCTTCCAATGAATGCGTGTACCCCAGTGACTGTTTGCTACCTCACATACTAAAGAGCGTTGGTAATTCTGTTAACGGCCACCAGCAACAGTATCTACTCGATCATGCTGAACATGTTCCATGTACTGGGTTTACAAATTTGAACGAAAATGTTTCACACGTAAATGTCAACAATTAACAAACGCAATATTGTGGACTTACCTAGGCTTGAGCGCCATGTAGAGGGTGGATGCACTGGGGTTAGTGAGCAACCTAAGGAGGTCGAGACGAGAAGCGGCTGCCAGAGAGACCAGTCCCCCCTGGTGCTGGGAGAGCCTCAGAGGCGTCCCCACCACGCTCCACGACCACACACTCTCATCAACCTCGGCCCACCCACTCGTCACTTCCACCTGCCAAAATTACTTCCATAAATAAGGTTCTCTAAGTATACTGAAACCTCACTGCAGATCCCGATCGGTTGTTCCCTTTGCAACATGCAGCTGTCACCCGGCCTGGCCACCAGACCAGCCGCGCAGGCGGGACTTCCAATCCCTGACACAACGGCAGTCTTTTCAGACGCCACCACCGGATCATTAATGAGAGGAGGGAGGTATTGGAGGTATTACTGTCCAGTACTGAATGATTTGCTGAAAATTTATTAAAAACATCTCCCAAGCGATCGTTAGCCGCTCATACACCGCCATTATCGTGTTGCTAGCTGACAACTTCCCCAAGCCGCCTCAAGATGTCAACACCAGCACTGTAAACCAAAATGTCCTCTTATAAATTAATTAAGTCGCTTTTCGCTCGTATGCTCTACAGCCAAAAAAGGCTGTAATTTGAAAATGAAAGATAATTTAAAAAAAAATTGGATTTTTTCTCCAAAACAGCAAGTTAAGGGTCCTCTGGTAGGTTAGAAGGGCAGGAAGTTCTCCTAAGGTTTCAAACCGTCATGAAACCCGTTAATTGAAAGTGTCCTCTCCGAACCTAATAGCCTAAGCCAGAGGACCTAAAACAGAAAATGGGACGGTACGTCGCTTTTATGAACCGATTTAATTTTGAATTACGTAATTTTTTAGCCTGAATGCTCAGTCGATCAAAAAGAGACGTAATTTGTAAGAGGACGGGTTGTGAACAGAGTCACCAAGTGACTCCACACTGGTGTTAGGACGCTTGGTTCATCCTTGACGGCGAGTGGACGTCTGGACACCTCCGCCAGGAAGCCTCCGGATCACGTTGTTTCGCGATTTTGGATTTGACACTTCCGTTTAGCATTCCTATTCAACAGTCCGGTTTGGACGACACCTGGCGCACATATCGCCTTGGGTCACAGGATTGTTGATTGATTTTAAACGTTTTCTGGCTGGTTCTCCCGGCGGGATGACCGTGTCCGGAGCCGGCTTGGCCGAGAGGTGCCAGGAGTTGGTGGGTCTCGGTGGGGTCCTGGGGCCGGATTCAGGAAGGTACTTACGAAGGTTTTTCCTCTTAGCTAAGAACGTTTTCCTTCTTAGCGCCTTCGTGGCGGCTACGTCCGTATTCAAGTAACTACCCTAAGTGGAAAAACCTTCGTAAGTTCATTCTGGGATTTAAGTGTGGTTTCGACCACTCGTAGCTTTACGTAAACTGGATATAAGTCATTTTTTCTCTACTACATAACACTGGGATCGATTTATGATATTGTAACATGACCAAAATATTATAGCTGGTGAATCTAGTGAAGAGGAATCCTTCGTGTTAGTTATATATGCATTCTCTGCTTGAAACTTGAAGTAAATATGTGTTTGATGATAGTAGAATTAGTTTTATAATAGCAAGATATTATACCCGTAGTTATTAAGTAAATAAACACTGGTGAACATGAAATATGAGAGAAGGTGATGAGCCCTGCCTGATGGGATCATTTACTATCACCAAATGCCCCTGTTCACCTAGTAGTAAAGGTGTACCTTAGCTATACATACCCATTTCTAATTTATTTAGTTTGGTTTTATTTTGAAATTAAATCTGGGTGAGACATAAAATAAAAATATGCTGCACAAATGATGTTAGGTAAGGAGAAGGGTAAAAATGTCAACAACTTTATTCATTGAATATTTAAAGCTATATTTATGACTATATACATTATTAAAAAAGAGAGAGGGAAGTAGGGGTCCAAGACCTCTTCCTGTTATACAATTTGGGTGTTGAACAACTAATTATCAAAAGAAGGCACCATGCCGGGAAGGCTATGTAGCACCATTGTGTGTAACAATAAACCAAATTTTTTTTAACAAATAATGCACCTGTATGGTAAAACAAATCCTGTCAGCTGTAAAAATATTGATGCAGTTATTTAAATGAAAAATATGATGAAAGAAATATTACTGGTTTATTTTTATCCTATCTTTTTGTACTGTACAGTATATCCAAGGAAGTGAAAAATTGAGACTTAATGCACAATTTAATGAATGATTAGCATGGATTAGCAGTTCAAAAGAAATATGACTATTACATATCAACATGAGATCTTAATGATCCATGGTCAACATGATTTAATAAGCACACTAAGGAGCTACACATGTGACAAAATGATACATTTGGCAAGAATCTTAGCTCGGACTGAGTGACCTTGAAAACAAGCGCGCCTATGTGGAGCAGAGAGGCCTAACTCCTCGTGCCCCGCCTCTTAGCAGTGCTTCTGCATGCATAAACAGTGTGTGAATCTTTCCTTCTGATCGTGCGATATGATTGGAGTCCCTTTGCTGTGTGGTTGATGTGTAACTCTGTGGTTCGTGCTGTGTGCAGCTGTGAACCTGCCCAGGCGACACTCGAGGCATGGCGACTGCTGCCTCTAAGGCAGGTGCTGCCACAGTGGCCTCACACCAGAGTGCTAGTACATCAAGTGGTCTACACGAGGAAGATACAAGCATGGTATCTTTCACAGTGGACTCAAATGCTGGACAGGAGGAGCCTGATAGTGACGAAACTCCTTGGACAACTGTATCGTCCCGGAGGAAGACACAAGGAGTCAAAAATATCATAAATCGTAACCATGAGAAGAAAAGAACCAACCTGCAGTTTCCCTCGGGCACGGGAACTGCAGCAAAATATGATGGTTGGCTAAGGCAGCCAAAAAACACCCTGGTGGTGGGTATTGGTTGGCGAATAGACATGCAAACCATGTTCGTATGAACAGTACTGATGAGATGGTGCAATATTTCTGTACTCAAGAGCTTGCTGGTATAACAATGAGGAAACCACCACCGCCTGCTCATACCCACAGGACACCTGTCATCATTTTTGGTCTGGACCTCTACCAGGATCACACACTGGTAGAGCAGCATGAATATATTTTCAATGCGAAAAGAACTAAGGGCAGAGAGACTATTCTCGCCAACTGGACCAGCGAAGAGACTCCGCCGGAAAGATTTACTGTTCCAAGTGCTTATCGGCAACTAACAATGAAGATTTACAACCCTCCCAGGCGCAGGTGTTACAAGTGCCAACGGTGGAATCATGTTGCAAGGAACTGTTGGAATGATGAGCGGTGTGGCCACTGTGCCGGAAAGCATGCAACGTCTGTGTGTGATGCTAAAAAGGGTGGTGCACTAAAACTGAGGTGTGCAAACTGTCACGTGGAGGGAGTTCCCGCCTGGCATGAGGACTGTGCCTCACTCCCGCCGAGACGGGCTGCCCGGGGTACAACAGCTGGGGGCGCCAGTAACCACCCTGGCTCATCTGCTGTGCCCCCACCGGTCACTCCGTCACACTCCCCTTCCTTACCCAACCACTCCAACGCCACGGCTAGTAGCTCGAGTGACACAGTTGTAGGCCCTACCAATTCATGTTGGTCGGGGGGCCTGGATCAGGCACAGAAAATTAGTGAGCTTATGCATACAGTAGAAAAACAAAACAAAATTGTGGAAAACCTGACCAAGCAGATAACCGAACAAAATAAGGAAATCATGCACCAAAAGACGATGATAACCACTCTTCAGGAAACTGTGAGAGTATTAATAACTGAGTGCAGGCCACACCACCCTGGGGTACCACCATGTGCTCCCATGCGGCCAGTACCCCAGGGAAGACCCCAGCAGGGGGTGTCCCAGCCCTCACACCAGCTGGGCTCTCCCACCACGGCTCCCCACACCCCAGCCTCATCAACGCAGTGCGCTATGAACAGAGGTAAACTATTCCACGTAGAAACGCATAGTGCTGTCGATGTGTATTATGGCGCAACTGATCCTGATGATGAACGTAGTGACACTGAGGGTGAGAACTTTAATGGTGATGACGATCAAGATGTTGATACCGGGTCTAATAAACTCTGTTTGAAGGAATACAGTAGTGGAAATGTTGAAAGTGATTGTGGTAAAAAACAAAGTGAAACCAGTGACGCTTGTAGTGATAGTGACGAAGTTCAACTGGACGTGGATGCCCGCCTCGGGCCGCGCACGTCACATCCCAGATGGTTCCGCCGTGACACATTTAAAGAAATGGTGACAGGTGATGTGCTGACTGAAGAGGAAAAAGAAGCTGTAATAAAGCACTACAACCAGTATGTAGACATACTTGCTTTCCTGAAACTGCAGACTGATAAAGTACAAAAGAACAATGGCGGCCTCTGAATCTCATAAAAACAAGTACAGTGTCATCAAGATACTCAGAATCTTCCAGTAGATGAACGACATATGAGATTCAGAAACAAGTAGTGTATTGTGAGGACTAATAATAAACAGAAGCTCCCCTATGACTCTGCAATATCCCCATTGGCCAAACTATTATGTATTAACGACAAGACCTACCATTAATGTATGATGACTTACTGTAAATATGTAGCTCTTGTAATAGCACTTTCTCTGTAACTACCTGACATTGTATCTATAAGGTGTGAAGGATTGAAGAAATTGTTTATGTAATAATCTAAGATGAGGTCTGATAAAGACCTTTTGTGCCCTCTGTAATGCTTTTGCGCTATCGCTCACAGGATGAGTATGGGGTGCACAATAAACTAGCCGCCTTCGGCGGCAACAATCAATAATAAGGATAATACAGTAATGAATTTGCAATAATACAAACTATAATTTAAAATCTTTATTACTGATTTTTTTTATTAAGAAGATTAGGTATACACAGCAATGTGCTGCTACCCTATTCTATATGGAATATTACACAGTGTAGATAAAAAACTAGCTATAAGTTTATCTAATACTCCCATCTCACAGGATGATTAGACATACAATACTGTACATGGAATCAATTTAGAAAATACCAGCCTCAATACAAAAAACAAATCAACTCTGACTAAACAACTCTAAGCAATTTTCACAAGAGGTAAGCACTGAATCATGGAAACATTATATTACAATTAATCTTACCAGTTTCTACCAGACTCCTCTCAAAGAATGTATTTTTAAACATGTTTAGGTATACACAGCAATGTGCTGCTTCCCTATTCTGTATAAAGGACCACACAGTGTAGATCAAAAACCAGCTACAAGCTCATCCAACATCCTCACCTCACAGGATGGCCAGTCATACATGGAATTAGGAGAGAACAAAATACTTAATGCTGATCTATTAGCCTCCACTGGCAAAATCTGGGTGCAGCACAAGAATATCTTCTAATATTCCTGAGTGTATGAAGTAATTACAGAGCTCAAAATACCTCATACCATTTAGTAAGAAGTCACTGATAACAGGACAATCACAGATATAGTGTTGGAGAGTATGTTCTCTCAAGTAGGACTGAAAACAGATTTTTTTTCCACCAATAAGGCTATAAACCCATGGAACCGCCTACCCGCCGAAGCCGTAAATGCCAAATTCCAGCTGAAAAATATCATTAAGACAATTGGCGGGCCCTTTAACAAGCCGCCGGCTTTCTGTCCTCTTCGAGGCCACTAGATAGTTAGTGGCCCTTGGGTAAATTCAGTAAATATATACAATAATTGTCAGCGCATCTTCCGAGCAACAAGGACAGCTACACAGTATCTCTGAGAATTACGTAGGTAAACAACAAATGTAACATATTTGTTTACTACAATGTCGGTGCTGGCTGTAGAAGTTGAAAAAACATTGTTTTACTTAGAAATATACTAATTTTATAAGAATATTCGACGTAAATAGGAGGCAGTAGAGCTCCGATAAGCCAGCGCTAAATCTTCAATATGAAGAATGTTGCTGCTCTCTGATTGGCCAAACGAAACACAGTAGTGACCTCTATCGGCACGCAGGTGCACCAACAAATTTCTTCCTAAGTGGACCTTATTGAATCGCGCCTAAGCATCTTCTTAGGGCGCACTTAGGAACCTTCGTAGCAAACCCACTTACGAAGAAATACACAGATCTTCCTGAATCTAGGTCCTGGTGTGCCCTCAGTCGTGGCGGGCGGCTGGTTTCTGCTCTGTTGGAGGCACAGGATTACTTTTGCGGTGTAGTTGGGGGCCGAGTGTCGTGTCACGAAGCTCCACAGCATCATTGGCGGCGTAGAACCTTCCAGAAATTACCAAAAGCCCCCTGACCTACAATATTACGTCTAGGGGATCAGGGAAGGTCCAACAAAAATTCACCAGTTTACTGAGGGCATAATTATATGTATGACACCACATTATATACATATATGTTCACCTAGAGCAAAAATCAGAATAGTACTAATCAAGTCGCAAGGGGTCATTAGGGCCCCTAAGATTTCAACTTAGATTCAACAGAGCAGAAGAAGTTGTTAAACATATATGGCAAAATCTTACTGAAGCGACCATACGAGTCATAAATACTCGTACTCCGCCCAAGTAAAACAGAAACAAGCAATACTTAGTGGGCCAGCCAGAGGCTTAGGGCCCGTGCAGGAATATCCCTGCAGAAAAATATAGGGCCCCCAGCCCTTAGTAACAGTGGTACACTAGTCCCTTGCTGGCTGTAAGGTCTTGAAAAAGGTGCGGGGAGTGACAGATAATCACTAGGGGGGGGGGGGGGGTTCCATAATCCCAGTCATGTCCTCACCTGCCCACAACACTAAGTCCTCTCAGGAAAGAAAAGATCCCCCCCCCCCCTTGCAGAGTCAGAAACTGCTTAACACAAAAATGTTACCTACCACACTGTTCCAAAAAGATCCAAGCGTGAAACACAATGATAATCCTGATCCATCACCTTAGTAATACACTCGGCTTACATAAATACCGCTACGAGGTCCTCAGACTAATGTAAAGACAAAATAGCAACAGCTCGGACAGAGTTTGTCCGCCTCCTCCAAAACCCAAAAAGCTAGTGACACTGTCTGGGCGCGCCCAGAGGAGGGGGAGGGGGGGGGCGGCAAACGACCAACTCCGAAGATCATAACCGCCAATATTGAAAACACAAGTTAAACTTTACAACTTAAAATATAACACAATAGAATCTTGAGAACACACACATGCTCACTGCACCAGAATATAAGCAGAACATGGAGAGCTGGACAGTCGTGACCTTCACAATGGGCAGAATTTATATACCAGATTGAGATTATCTGAATGAAGCTGGACACCAGATGCTTGGTGCTAGCCTCACCAAGCTTTGCAAGGTACTCGTCTGGGGTACGGGACGGACATAGACTGGTCGAGGTCGGTCCTATTAGTGAAGAGGAGGCTGCGCCCAATAGTGATCACTCCCTGTAATTGGTGAAATGTGGCTGGCCAAGTCTCTAGATTTGTTCACAAAACAAGGAATGTGAATTCCTTATTACACTTTTCTGACCAAAGAAAGAATCCAGATCATATGCTGCATTATGCCTGAAAGATAAGATGATAATGAATGGGTATAAAGGACAGTTGGTATCAACGCGCATCACTCTGCTTAATAAATCACTTTCACCCACCGATGACGAAGTATAGAGTCAAAAGTTTACTTTTTAATAGCCACCGATGACTAACTATGGAGTCAAAAATTAAACAAAAATAGGCCTGCTTTCGACACGGTTTTGGACATTATATACATATACCCCCTTGAAGGGAATTTCATTGCGAATCCATTAATACTAAAATGAAAGACCTGGGACCAGAATTTACGTAACAGTTGAAAAGAGCAAACTCATTTTATTGCTCTTTATTAGCGCTCACTAGGGTAACGCTCTGTCTCTTTCTCTGTTTGCTGCGGATGGCACGCCGAACTTTTGGACTTCACTTGCATTTAATCGTGTAGGGAATTCTACTGCGAACACAATGATACCAAGATGAAAGACCTAGGACGAGAATTGAGATGTCCAATATGAAGAGAGTGTACACATTTTATTGCTCTTTAGCGCTCCCGGGTAACTTGCTCTCACTTTCTCGCCGTTCTTTTGGGCTTTATATGCACATACTTCTGTAGAGAACTTCATTGCGAATTCATTGATACCAAAATGAAAGACCTAGGACCAGAATTGAGATAACAAAGTTAAAAAGAGCAAACGTGATTTGCTCGGTACGCCGAAACGGTACGCCGTGATTTTGGACTTTATATATGCATATACTCCTGTAGAGAATCTATTACGAACACAATGATATAAAAATAAAAGACCAAAGACGAGAATTGAGGTGACCAAAGTGAAAAGAGTGTGCACATTTCATGGCTCTTTAGTGCTCCCGGGTACCTTGCTCTTACCTTTGCTTGGTGTGGGTGGTACGCTGGGCTTGCGGACTTCATATGCATTTAATCGTATGGGGAATTCTATTGCGAACACATTGATATCAAATTGGAAAACCTAGGATGCGAATTGAGATGACAAAGTTGAAAACAGTATACACTTTTCAATATTACAGCGCTGTCTAGTGGACGGCCTGGCCCTCCACCCTGCTCTCATCACCTGCTTTCATCACGTCGGCGGGTGGAGCGCGCCATGGTTTTTGACATTATATGCATACACTTTTGTTGGGAATTTTATTACGAACACATTGATACCAAAATGAAAAACCTAGGACGAAAATTGAGGTGACCAAAGTGAAAAGAATGTACACATTTTATCGCTCTTGGGTCACTTTCTCTGTTTGCTGCGGGTGGTAAGCTGGGCTTTCGGACTTTATATGCATTTAATCGTGTAGAGAATTCTATTGCGAACACATTGATATCAAATTGGAAATCCTAGAACGAGAATTAAGGTGATAAAGTTGAAAAGAGTATACACTTTTCAGTAATACCTCGCGCTCCCGCAAGCTCTCGGGAACGTCCAAAACCACTAGGGTAGGAGAAATGCTTGCTTGCCCAAAGTGCTAGAGTTCGAAGTCAAATGTATTTGCTTGCTAGGAGAGTGGGCGAAGTAACTGCACTACAGGTCCCCTATTTACGGATGAATTATTAATGAGAGTACCAAATATTTAAAAAACCCAGGTTCCAACTTCACTTAACCTCACGTTCGTAATATCATCATACTCACATCTGACTGAAGGAGAGACGAATATGATGTCAGAAGAAGGTGGTCGAGCCAGGAGGTTAGGAGTTGGTGCCACTGTAGAGCGAGGGGGTCGAGGGCAAAGGTGGAGAAGAAGCGGGTGGTGCCGCCCAGCCCCGCCAACACCCACCCGCGCAGCTCCGTCACCACCTCCTGCTTCACCTGCACACAAACAATCATATCTTACCAGGTCTGTTTTCTCACAATATACAGATTTATTTAACTACATATGATTCACAAGGTGTAGTAAATGAAGAGTTTACCAGAGATTCACCCAGCAGCTGTCTCTTCGCCCTGGCAGACGAAGGCCAACACTGTCATGTGTGCGGCTGAGTGTATTGAGAGAAAATGTTTTATTGATGTGAAAGTTGAGACTTGGGTAGGTAACTTCGATACAACGACCAGTCAGGCATAGGAAGTGGTATGGAACTAATGGTGAAAGAGATGAGCATTTTGTGAAGAGTGAAGCAGATAATGAGGTTTTAATAGCCATAGAAGACCAAAAATGAGGAGGGGGAGTAGTATTGTCATGACTGACATTTCGTATGTGTTAATTTAATTTATAAAATTATATTAATTGTCACTGAAATTATAATTAAATGTCATAATCTTTCAAGGTGTACATATATGAGCCACCCGTCTTCTCTATAACTATGCCACATGTGCACCATGAGGTAACCACCACTACAACTATGCCACATGTGCACCATGAGGTAACCACCACTACAACTATGCCACATGTGCACCATGAGGTAACCACCACTACAACTATGCCACATGTGCACCATGAGGTAACCACCACTACAACTATGCCACATGTGCACCATGAGGTAACCACCACTACAACTATGCCACATGTGCACCATGAGGTAACCACCACTACAACTATGCCACATGTGCACCATGAGGTAACCACAGCTATAAACTCCCCTGGAAACACAAACCGAAACTGTCTCTATTTTCCGCTTGTTACAACTTGTAATAAAGTTGTTACATCTTGGCTTAACGTGTTTATGACGTATTAGAACGTTGTTACAACTTGATATATTGGTTGTTATAACTGGTTAGGAGGTGTTCAAACTTGTTCGAACGTTGTACCAACGTCGTAGTTTCGGTGTGTGTTTGGCGGGTCAATCTTCATTACCTTGACTTCTTCAGTTCCCAGTCAGGTTAGTGGGTTGAACTTTGCATGGAGTGCAAAGAGGCAAGAGAACGTGTTGACACAGCAGTAGTGTGAGTGACTGTGGTACAGCAGTAGTGTGAGTGACTGTGGTACAGCAGTAGTGTGTGTGACTGTGGTACAGCAGTAGTGTGAGTGACTGTGGTACAGCAGTTGTGTGAGTGACTGTGGTACAGCAGTAGTGTGTGTGACTGTGGTACAGCAGTAGTGTGAGTGACTGTGGTACAGCAGTAGTGTGTGTGACTGTGGTACAGCAGTAGTGTGAGTGACTGTGGTACAGCAGTTGTGTGAGTGACTGTGGTACAGCAGTTGTGTGAGTGACTGTGGTACAGCAGTTGTGTGAGTGACTGTGGTACAGCAGTAGTGTGTGTGACTGTGGTACAGCAGTAGTGTGTGTGACTGTGGTACAGCAGTAGTGTGTGTGACTGTGGTACAGCAGTAGTGTGTGTGACTGTGGTACAGCAGTAGTGTGTGTGACTGTGGTACAGCAGTAGTGTGTGTGTGTGACTGTGGTACAGCAGTAGTGTGTGTGTGTGACTGTGGTACAGCAGTAGTGTGTGTGAGTGACTGTGGTACAGCAGTAGTGTGTGTGTGTGACTGTGGTACAGCAGTAGTGTGTGTGTGACTGTGGTACAGCAGTAGTGTGTGTGACTGTGGTACAGCAGTAGTGTGTGTGTGTGACTGTGGTACAGCAGTAGTGTGTGTGAGTGACTGTGGTACAGCAGTAGTGTGTGTGACTGTGGTACAGCAGTAGTGTGTGTGTGTGACTGTGGTACAGCAGTAGTGTGTGTGAGTGACTGTGGTACAGCAGTAGTGTGAGTGACTGTGGTACAGCAGTAGTGTGTGTGACTGTGGTACAGCAGTAGTGTGTGTGACTGTGGTACAGCAGTAGTGTGTGTGTGTGACTGTGGTACAGCAGTAGTGTGTGTGTGTGACTGTGGTACAGCAGTAGTGTGTGTGAGTGACTGTGGTACAGCAGTAGTGTGAGTGACTGTGGTACAGCAGTAGTGTGTGTGACTGTGGTACAGCAGTAGTGTGTGTGTGTGACTGTGGTACAGCAGTAGTGTGTGTGACTGTGGTACAGCAGTAGTGTGAGTGACTGTGGTACAGCAGTAGTGTGTGTGTGACTGTGGTACAGCAGTAGTGTGTGTGTGACTGTGGTACAGCAGTAGTGTGTGTGTGTGACTGTGGTACAGCAGTAGTGTGTGTGTGTGACTGTGGTACAGCAGTAGTGTGTGTGTGTGACTGTGGTACAGCAGTAGTGTGTGTGACTGAGGTACAGCAGTAGTGTGTGTGACTGTGGTACAGCAGTAGTGTGTGTGACTGTGGTACAGCAGTAGTGTGAGTGACTGTGGTACAGCAGTAGTGTGTGTGACTGTGGTACAGCAGTAGTGTGAGTGACTGTGGTACAGCAGTAGTGTGTGTGTGTGACTGTGGTACAGCAGTAGTGTGTGTGTGTGACTGTGGTACAGCAGTAGTGTGTGTGACTGTGGTACAGCAGTAGTGTGTGTGACTGTGGTACAGCAGTAGTGTGTGTGTGTGACTGTGGTACAGCAGTAGTGTGTGTGACTGTGGTACAGCAGTAGTGTGTGTGTGTGACTGTGGTACAGCAGTAGTGTGTGTGACTGTGGTACAGCAGTAGTGTGTGTGTGTGACTGTGGTACAGCAGTAGTGTGTGTGTGTGACTGTGGTACAGCAGTAGTGTGTGTGACTGTGGTACAGCAGTAGTGTGTGTGACTGTGGTACAGCAGTAGTGTGTGTGTGACTGTGGTACAGCAGTAGTGTGAGTGACTGTGGTACAGCAGTAGTGTGTGTGACTGTGGTACAGCAGTAGTGTGTGTGACTGTGGTACAGCAGTAGTGTGAGTGACTGTGGTACAGCAGTAGTGTGAGTGACTGTGGTACAGCAGTAGTGTGAGTGACTGTGGTACAGCAGTAGTGTGTGTGACTGTGGTACAGCAGTAGTGTGTGTGACTGTGGTACAGCAGTAGTGTGTGTGACTGTGGTACAGCAGTAGTGTGTGTGACTGTGGTACAGCAGTAATGTATGTGTGTGTGTGACTGTGGTACAGCAATAGTGTGTGTGTGTGTGACTGTGGTACAGCAGTAGTGTGTGTATGTGTGACTGTGGTACAGCAGTAGTGTGTGTGACTGTGGTACAGCAGTAGTGTGTGTGTGTGACTGTGGTACAGCAGTAGTGTGTGTGTGTGACTGTGGTACAGCAGTAGTGTGTGTGACTGTGGTACAGCAGTAGTGTGTGTGACTGTGGTACAGCAGTAGTGTGTGTGTGACTGTGGTACAGCAGTAGTGTGTGTGTGTGTGTGACTGTGGTACAGCAGTAGTGTGTGTGTGACTGTGGTACAGCAGTAGTGTGTGTGTGACTGTGGTACAGCAGTAGTGTGTGTGACTGTGGTACAGCAGTAGTGTGTGTGTGACTGTGGTACAGCAGTAGTGTGTGTGACTGTGGTACAGCAGTAGTGTGTGTGACTGTGGTACAGCAGTAGTGTGTGTGACTGTGGTACAGCAGTAGTGTGTGTGTGACTGTGGTACAGCAGTAGTGTGTGTGTGACTGTGGTACAGCAGTAGTGTGTGTGACTGTGGTACAGCAGTAGTGTGTGTGTGACTGTGGTACAGCAGTAGTGTGTGTGTGACTGTGGTACAGCAGTAGTGTGTGTGTGACTGTGGTACAGCAGTAGTGTGTGTGACTGTGGTACAGCAGTAATGTGTGTGTGTGTGTGACTGTGGTACAGCAATAGTGTGTGTGTGTGTGACTGTGGTACAGCAGTAGTGTGTGTATGTGTGACTGTGGTACAGCAGTAGTGTGTGTGACTGTGGTACAGCAGTAGTGTGTGTGTGTGACTGTGGTACAGCAGTAGTGTGTGTGACTGTGGTACAGCAGTAGTGTGTGTGACTGTGGTACAGCAGTAGTGTGTGTGTGACTGTGGTACAGCAGTAGTGTGTGTGTGTGTGTGTGACTGTGGTACAGCAGTAGTGTGTGTGTGACTGTGGTACAGCAGTAGTGTGTGTGACTGTGGTACAGCAGTAGTGTGTGTGTGTGTGTGACTGTGGTACAGCAGTAGTGTGTGTGTGACTGTGGTACAGCAGTAGTGTGTGTGACTGTGGTACAGCAGTAGTGTGTGTGTGACTGTGGTACAGCAGTAGTGTGTGTGACTGTGGTACAGCAGTAGTGTGTGTGACTGTGGTACAGCAGTAGTGTGTGTGACTGTGGTACAGCAGTAGTGTGTGTGTGACTGTGGTACAGCAGTAGTGTGTGTGTGACTGTGGTACAGCAGTAGTGTGTGTGACTGTGGTACAGCAGTAGTGTGTGTGTGACTGTGGTACAGCAGTAGTGTGTGTGTGACTGTGGCACAGCAGTAGTGTGTGTGTGACTGTGGTACAGCAGTAGTGTGTGTGTGACTGTGGTACAGCAGTAGTGTGTGTGTGACTGTGGTACAGCAGTAGTGTGTGTGTGACTGTGGTACAGCAGTAGTGTGTGTGTGACTGTGGTACAGCAGTAGTGTGTGTGACTGTGGTACAGCAGTAGTGTGTGTGACTGTGGTACAGCAGTAGTGTGTGTGACTGTGGTACAGCAGTAGTGTGTGTGTGTGACTGTGGTACAGCAGTAGTGTGTGTGACTGTGGTACAGCAGTAGTGTGTGTGACTGTGGTACAGCAGTAGTGTGTGTGTGTGACTGTGGTACAGCAGTAGTGTGTGTGTGTGACTGTGGTACAGCAGTAGTGTGAGTGACTGAGGTACAGCAGTAGTGTGAGTGACTGTGGTACAGCAGTAGTGTGAGTGACTGTGGTACAGCAGTAGTGTGAGTGACTGTGGTACAGCAGTAGTGTGTGTGACTGTGGTACAGCAGTAGTGTGAGTGACTGGTACAGCAGTAGTGTGTGTGACTGTGGTACAGCAGTAGTGTGAGTGACTGTGGTACAGCAGTAGTGTGTGTGTGACTGTGGTACAGCAGTAGTGTGTGTGTGACTGTGGTACAGCAGTAGTGTGTGTGACTGTGGTACAGCAGTAGTGTGTGTGACTGTGGTACAGCAGTGGTGTGTGTGTGTGTGACTGTGGTACAGCAGTAGTGTGAGTGACTGAGGTACAGCAGTAGTGTGAGTGACTGTGGTACAGCAGTAGTGTGAGTGACTGTGGTACAGCAGTAGTGTGTGTGACTGTGGTACAGCAGTAGTGTGTGTGACTGTGGTACAGCAGTAGTGTGAGTGACTGTGGTACAGCAGTAGTGTGAGTGACTGTGGTACAGCAGTAGTGTGTGTGACTGAGGTACAGCAGTAGTGTGAGTGACTGTGGTACAGCAGTAGTGTGTGTGACTGTGGTACAGCAGTAGTGTGTGTGACTGTGGTACAGCAGTAGTGTGAGTGACTGTGGTACAGCAGTAGTGTGAGTGACTGAGGTACAGCAGTAGTGTGAGTGACTGTGGTACAGCAGTAGTGTGAGTGACTGAGGTACAGCAGTAGTGTGAGTGACTGTGGTACAGCAGTAGTGTGAGTGACTGTGGTACAGCAGTAGTGTGAGTGACTGTGGTACAGCAGTAGTGTGAGTGACTGTGGTACAGCAGTAGTGTGAGTGACTGTGGTACAGCAGTAGTGTGAGTGACTGTGGTACAGCAGTAGTGTGAGTGACTGTGGTACAGCAGTAGTGTGAGTGACTGTGGTACAGCAGTAGTGTGAGTGACTGTGGTACAGCAGTAGTGTGAGTGACTGTGGTACAGCAGTAGTGTGAGTGACTGTGGTACAGCAGTAGTGTGAGTGACTGTGGTACAGCAGTAGTGTGAGTGACTGTGGTACAGCAGTAGTGTGAGTGACTGTGGTACAGCAGTAGTGTGAGTGACTGTGGTACAGCAGTAGTGTGAGTGACTGTGGTACAGCAGTAGTGTGAGTGACTGTGGTACAGCAGTAGTGTGAGTGACTGTGGTACAGCAGTAGTGTGAGTGACTGTGGTACAGCAGTAGTGTGAGTGACTGTGGTACAGCAGTAGTGTGAGTGACTGTGGTACAGCAGTAGTGTGAGTGACTGTGGTACAGCAGTAGTGTGAGTGACTGTGGTACAGCAGTAGTGTGAGTGACTGTGGTACAGCAGTAGTGTGAGTGACTGTGGTACAGCAGTAGTGTGAGTGACTGTGGTACAGCAGTAGTGTGAGTGACTGTGGTACAGCAGTAGTGTGAGTGACTGTGGTACAGCAGTAGTGTGAGTGACTGTGGTACAGCAGTAGTGTGAGTGACTGTGGTACAGCAGTAGTGTGAGTGACTGTGGTACAGCAGTAGTGTGAGTGACTGTGGTACAGCAGTAGTGTGAGTGACTGTGGTACAGCAGTAGTGTGAGTGACTGTGGTACAGCAGTAGTGTGAGTGACTGTGGTACAGCAGTAGTGTGAGTGACTGTGGTACAGCAGTAGTGTGAGTGACTGTGGTACAGCAGTAGTGTGTGTGTGGTACAGCAGTGTGTGTGTGACTGTGGTACAGCAGTAGTGTGAGTGACTGTGGTACAGCAGTAGTGTGACAGTGACTGTGGTACAGCAGTAGTGTGAGTGACTGTGGTACAGCAGTAGTGTGAGTGACTGTGGTACAGCAGTAGTGTGAGTGACTGTGGTACAGCAGTAGTGTGAGTGACTGTGGTACAGCAGTAGTGTGAGTGTGGTACAGCAGTAGTGTGAGTGACTGTGGTACAGCAGTAGTGTGAGTGACTGTGGTACAGCAGTAGTGTGTGTGACTGTGGTACAGCAGTAGTGTGAGTGACTGTGGTACAGCAGTAGTGTGAGTGACTGTGTACAGCAGTAGTGTGAGTGACTGTGGTACAGCAGTAGTGTGAGTGACTGTGTGCACTGTGGTACAGCAGTAGTGTGAGTGACTGTGGTACAGCAGTAGTGTGAGTGACTGTGGTACAGCAGTAGTGTGAGTGACTGTGGTACAGCAGTAGTGTGAGTGACTGAGGTACAGCAGTAGTGTGAGTGACTGTGGTACAGCAGTAGTGTGAGTGACTGTGGTACAGCAGTAGTGTGAGTGACTGTGGTACAGCAGTAGTGTGAGTGACTGAGGTACAGCAGTAGTGTGAGTGACTGTGGTACAGCAGTAGTAGTGTGAGTGACTGTGGTACAGCAGTAGTGTGGGTGACTGTGGTACAGCAGTAGTGTGAGTGACTGAGGTACAGCAGTAGTGTGTGTGACTGTGGTACAGCAGTAGTGTGAGTGACTGTGGTACAGCAGTAGTGTGTGTGACTGTGGTACAGCAGTAGTGTGAGTGACTGTGGTACAGCAGTAGTGTGAGTGACTGTGCTACAGCAGTAGTGTGTGTGACTGTGGTACAGCAGTAGTGTGTGTGTGACTGTTAGTGTGAGTGACTGTGGTACAGCAGTAGTGTGTGTGACTGTGGTACAGCAGTAGTGTGTGTGTGACTGTGGTACAGCAGTAGTGTGTGTGACTGAGGTACAGCAGTAGTAGTGTGAGTGACTGTGGTACAGCAGTAGTGTGAGTGACTGAGGTACAGCAGTAGTGTGAGTGACTGTGGTACAGCAGAAGTGTGAGTGACTGTGGTACAGCAGTAGTGTGAGTGACTGAGGTACAGCAGTAGTGTGAGTGACTGAGGTACAGCAGTAGTGTGAGTGACTGTGGTACAGCAGTAGTGTGAGTGACTGAGGTACAGCAGTAGTGTGAGTGACTGTGGTACAGCAGTAGTGTGAGTGACTGTGGTACAGCAGTAGTGTGAGTGACTGTGGTACAGCAGTAGTGTGAGTGACTGTGGTACAGCAGTAGTGTGTGTGACTGTGGTACAGCAGTAGTGTGAGTGACTGTGGTACAGCAGTAGTGTGAGTGACTGTGGTACAGCAGTAGTGTGTGTGACTGTGGTACAGCAGTAGTGTGTGTGTGTGTGACTGTGGTACAGCAGTAGTGTGAGTGACTGTGGTACAGCAGTAGTGTGAGTGACTGTGGTACAGCAGTAGTGTGAGTGACTGTGGTACAGCAGTAGTGTGAGTGACTGAGGTACAGCAGTAGTGTGAGTGACTGTGGTACAGCAGTAGTGTGAGTGACTGAGGTACAGCAGTAGTGTGAGTGACTGTGGTACAGCAGTAGTGTGAGTGACTGAGGTACAGCAGTAGTGTGAGTGACTGTGGTACAGCAGTAGTGTGTGTGTGACTGTGGTACAGCAGTAGTGTGAGTGACTGTGGTACAGCAGTAGTGTGTGTGTGACTGTACTCACCTAATTTTACTCACCTATTTGTGCTGGCGGGGGATGAGCTTTGTCTCTTTGGTCCCGCCTCTCAACCGGCAATCAACTGATGTACAGATTACTGAGCCTACTGGGCTGTATCATATCTACATTTGAAACTGTGTATGGAGTCAGCCTCCACCACATAGCTGCCTAATGCATTCCATCCCTTAACTACTCTGACACTGAAAAAGTTCCTTCTAACGTCTCTGTGGCTCATGTGGGTACTCAGTTTCCACCTGTGTCCCCTTGTTCGCGTACCACCAGTGTTGAATACTTTATTCTTGTCTACCCTGTCAATATCCCTGTGGATTTTGTAGGTAGTGATCATGTCTCCCCTATCTCTTCTGTCTTCCAGTGTCTTTAGGTGCATCTCTCGCAGCCTTTCCTCGTAACTCTTGCCTGTTAGGTCCGGGACTAGTCTAGTGGCATATCTCTGAACTTTTTCTAGCTTCGTCATGTGCTTGACAAGGTACGGGCTCCATGCTGGGGCCGCATACTCCAGGATTGGTCTTACATATGTGGTTTACAAGATTTTGAATGATTCCTTACACAGGTTCCTGAATTCTGTTCTGATATTAGCCAGTCTCGCATATGCCGCAGACGTAATTCTTTTTATGTGGGCTTCAAAAGATAGGTGTGGTGTGATATCAACCCCTAGATCTTTCTCTGTCCGTTTCCTGAAGTACGTCATCACCCAGACTGTATCCTATGTCTGGCCTTCTGTTTCCTCCGCCCAGTTTCATTACTTTCCATTTACTTGGGTTGAACTTGAGCAGCCATTTGTTGGACAATTCATTCAATCTGTCCAGGTCACCTTGTAGCCTCCTACTATTCTCCTCTGTTTCAATACTCCTCATAATTTTTGCGTCATCAGCAAACATTGAGAGAAACGAGTCAATACCCTCCGGGAGATCATTTACAAATATCAGAAAAAGTATAGGTCCAAGGACTGACCCCTGCGGGACTCCACTTGTGACGTCTCGCCAATCTGAGACTTCACTCACCCCTCACAGTAACTCATTGTCTTCTGATGCTTAGGTACTCCCTTATCCAATGGAGTACCTTCCCTTTCACTCCAGCCTGCATCTCCAGCTTCTTCACTAGCCTCTTGTGTGGTGCTGTATCATAGGCTTTCTGGTAATCCAAAAATATGCAGTCTGCCCATCCCTCTCTTTCTTGCCTGACTTTTATTGCCTGGTCGTAGAATTCAATTAACCCTATGAGGCAGGATTTGCCATCCCTGAACCCATGAACTGTGTTACAGCAATACGTGTGTATGACTGTGGTACAGCAGTAGTGTTCTGTTATTATGAATTTAAAATTTGCTGAGATTTGAAGTTCAGAATGTATACAATGGATATTGAAGCTGAGTGTCTAGCCTCTTTATCAAGCAATATACTTTCTTTGATTTCCTCATAATACTTTAGAAATTTGATCTATTATAAAGAAGAAAATATATAAATCCTGCATTCATTTATTTTTTTATATAAACAAGTTTTGAATTCATTCCACGTCATTGCACATCCCACCAGGCCATTGATGAACAGTGGTAACTCAGGAGAACCAGACTTGAGTTGCTGGTGTGTGACACATGTGGTGGCGGCCTCTGTCACACAAGTGTTGACCGCGGACTGACCTTTCTTAGCAGCTCTGGAACGTCAGACAGACTATAGCTCCTCTTGTGCCTCTGGTGGGCATTGACGAACTCCTCGGAGGCCCGGGTGAAGAGCTCCTGTGCCTTCTGGAGCAGAGTCAATACCCACTCCTGTAATGACCCGCCAACTTGGCCCTTATGACCAAATAAGGACTGGATCAGCTCCTCCAAGTTCTCGAGGCGTCCACCAAGCTGCCGGCAAGGACGGGTTACATTATTATACATTAGTCTGCATACTTCACATATTCATAAAATTACTAAAAATAATTACTATCCGCTTTGACTGGAATAGTTTTCTAGATATGTATATTAAGGATAATTCCCTCTGATTGTTTATTTATATATTATAGATCATTATTATATTATATATATATATATATATATATATATAATGCTTCCCTTACCTGGGCGCTTCCACCAAAATGCTTCAATAACGCAGATGTCAAGTTGAATGCAATACTTCGAGGTAGAAAAGAGTTTTGAAAAACAATATCTGTTTCGAGGATAGTGTGTGGAAGGCCCAGAAGAGCGGTGAGGTTGGCCACTAAGTGCCGGGACAACTGCCGGGAATCTCCACCACTTTCTTCCTCGCTCACAAAACCACTCACGTATGATTTGACTGCAAAGATTCAGGATAATGTAGTATATAACATAAAAGTAATCTCATTTTTTATCACGGAATAAATGAAGACTTATTCTAATGACAGTTATTGCTGCTATTTCGGGCTGTGATGGGAGGCCGGGTTCTGTACCCCTCGCTACATTAGGCCCTGACAAAGCTGCTTCTCTGGCTCTCCCGACTGACCATCTCTGCTCCACTCCCACCTCTGTGGCGGGTTTGAGCCCCAAACCCCCGGTGATAACCTCTTCGTCACCTGGAGTGGCTCCGTCTCTCAAAGTAACAACTGCACCTTTCACTCCCTCTCCTACTGAGGGTACTCGGCTCCTTCACCTCTGCACTCGCACGATTCCTTCCCAATCTAATACATTTCAAAATTTGTTTGGTCCTGCTAAGTGAACTAAGTATTTTGGTCTCAGTCATGTTGATCCTACACGTCCACATCCTAATGAATAAACATCTAGTTCATTCAGTGGATACTTTTGTCACTTTTAGCCCCACCCATACTGGTACATGTGTTGTTGCAGCCCCTTCTCAGGAAGCAGCTGCCAACTTAGCTTCGTTGTCCTGCATTGGGCCCCTGTTCGGATCTCCAAAAATGCCCAGTTAGATGCCAGCAATGGCACAGTTATTCTTCTGCACCATGTTGTGACTGGTGACAGGGACCTGAAAGACTGTCACGAGGATATTAAATATATTCTTGAGGCCCAAAGCGATTCTATCTTCCAGATTGTTACGTTCACTCGACCCCCTCGTGGTCGTCGTTGTCAGCCTCTTCGCGTTGTGAAGATCACTTTTGATAGTAGGTCCCTTCCATCTTCCGTCATTCTTGCTGGGCCAGATGCTCCGTTCAGGAGTACATATCCTCTCCCCGCCTCTGCAGCAGGTGCTGGAGATTTGGGCATGGTCCCTCCAGGTGCACAAGTGAGGTGTCTCTCTACCTCTCTACAACCAAACCATCGCCTGAGAAATCCTAGTAAACAACACAGAAATCATCGATAGATACAGCGATAGCAGGCGGCTTGACGTTTGCGAGGCACTACACATCAAGAAGTCAACACCAGCAATCAACAGCCAATTAATGCACAACTATATTCTACCCACCTCAAGACTCCGCTCCAATATAGAAGCATCAAGAAATATGGACCAATAGGCTTTCTACAAACACTTCTATTCAATACCCATTGTTTCGTGTTCTGTCTTGTGTTGATGAAATTAATACCCTATTAATGCCACCTCACCCCATCCACCTCACTCAAATGTAGATATAAAATCGGAGATGCGTAAGTTCTATTCAGTTGTGTATTTGTAAACTAAAGTCTTTGAAAATGTAATAAGTTTTACGAAACGCGCTCGTGTCGCGTCAGACAAGAAATAAAAATGAATTTTGGAGAATTGATTTTTGATTTACCTCCAACAGTGAAAAGAAATGTACGAAAGATTGAGAAAATTCGTGTTAGAATTATTAATGTTACTTTTTCGGTCATATTTAATAATATATTAACAGTGTCGCTGTTGAGAGGGAAAATGCGTGCTGTATCTTGGGTACGCACCCGACCCCCGAGGAGCTGGACGAGGTCTTTGAACACTGACTGGTATATTATTATATAAGTGTGTGTTTTCTGTAAACTGTAGCATTGCAATAAAATCAAATAAAAAAATAATAGGGGTGGTAGTTATATATATATACATATATATATATAACCAATGTACTACTAATATATCAAAAAACTAAACACCAGTCTATACAGTGCGGCCACGGAGATATCCTGTCTGGTCTCAGTGTACAGTGCAAATTGTCACTTTGTAGGTGTTGAGAACTTTGATTAGTTCTCTCACGTCGTCGTTTACTCTACACAAACCCCTAGATATAAGTGTTATGACCATTTGCAAAGTTACTGTTCGTAGTGTTCAACAGAAAAAATTGATTACAAATAATGTGTCTGACCTTGTGTACTAGACTCCTTGTTAATGATGAGGGAGGCGACTTGCTGAGCCTCACCAGGGCTGCACGAGTGCAGGGACTGGAAGGCCGCCACCCGCAGCTCGGCATCGACGGTCTCGTTGAGAATCTCCCATTTCAACCAGTTCCTTATCTGCAGTGGAAACGACAAGACAAAAGTTTAATTCAGACAAATACTTGGCATCACTTTGCTGTGTGTAAGTAGATGGTTGGACGCATCATCAAGGCCGAGCGGCTGTCAGTAAGTTGCTGGAGAAGAAGGTGAACCTGGAGGATGAGCTGGTGGAGCACATGTGGAGGGTGTCAGTCGGCAGCTACGATCACTGGGGCCTGGGTTGTAGAGGGGGACACACGTGTGTGTGTGTGTGTGTGTGTGTGTGTCTGTGTGTGTGTGTGTGTGTGTGTGTGTGTGTGTGTGTGTGTGTGTATTCATGTGTATTCACCTAGTTGTGCTTGCGGGAGTTGAGCTTTGCTCTTTCGGTCCGTCTCTCAACTGTATATCAACTGTTACTAACTACTATTTTTTTCCTCCCACACACACACAGGAAGCAGCTCCCTAACAGGTGTCTAACTCTCAGGTACCTTTTTACTGCTAGGTAACAGGGGCATTCAGGGTGAAAGAAACTTTGCCCATTTGTTTCTGCCTGGTCCGGGAATCGAACCCGGGCTACAGAATTACGAGTCCTGCGTGCTGTCCACTCAGCTACCAGACCCCCCCCCAGAAGTGATGTGTGTTTGTGTGTGTGTGTGTACTCACCTATTTGTGTCTGCAGGATCGAGCATTGACTCTTGGATCCCACCTTTCGAGCATCGGATGTTTACAGCAATGACTCCGGTCCTATTTCTCTATCATACCTGGTTTTAAAATTCTGAATAGAATTTGCTTCCACAACCTGATCCTTAAGTGCATTCCATTTTTCCACTACTCTCACGCTAAAAGAAACTTCCTAACATCTCTGTGACTCATCTGAGTTTCCAGCTTCCACCCATGTCCCCTCGTTCTGTTACTATTATGTGTAAACATTTCGTCTATGTGCACTCTGTCAATCCCGCTAGGTATTGTATACGTTCCTGTCATATCCACCCACCCCCCCTCTTCCTTCTTTTTTCTAGAGTCGCAAGGCTCAGTTCTTTCAGGCGCTCTTCATACCCCAGCCTTCGTAACGCTAGGAGGAGTCTCGTTGCAAACTTCTGAACCTTTTCCAGTTTCCTTATGTGTTTCTTCAGGTGGGGACTCCATGATGGGGCAGCATGCTCTAAGACTGGCCTTACGTAGGCAGTGTAAAGCGCCCTAAATGCCTCCTTACTTAGGTTTCTGAATGATGTTCTAACTTTTGCCAGTGTAAAGTACGCTGCTGTCGATATCCTATTTATATATGCCTCAGAAGTTAGATTAGTTGTTACGTCCACCCCCAGGTCTCTTTCTCGCGTGGTCACAGGTAGGCTGTTCCCCTGCATTGTGTACTGTCCCTTTGGTTTCCTATTACCTAGTCCCATTTCCATAACTTTACATTTGCTCGTGTTGAACTCTAGTAGCCATTTCTCTGACCATCTCTGCAACCTGTTCAGGTCCTCTTGGAGGATCCTGCAATCCTCATCTGTCACAACTCTTCTCATCAACTTTGCGTCATCCACGAACATCGACATGTAGGATTCTACTCCTACATGTCGATGTTCTACATGTCGATGTAGGATTCTACTCCTACATGTCGATGTTCTACATGTCGATGTAGGATTCTACTCCTACATGCTCGATGTAAAAATATCGTTTAAGTATATTAGAAATAGAATTGGTCCCAGCACAGATCCTTGAGGTACTCCACTAGTTACTGTTCGCTAGTCCGGCTTCTCGCCCCCTTACCGTAACTCTCTGGCTCCTTCCTGTTAGATAGTTCCTTATCCATGCTAGGGCCTTTCCACTCACTCCCGCCTGCCTCTCCAGTTTGAATAGCAGTCTCATGTGCAATACTCTGTCAAAGGCTTTCTGGCAGTCCAGAAATATGTAGTCTGCCCAACCTTCTCTGTCCTGCCTTATCATCGTTATTTTAACATAGAATTCCAAAACGTTTGTTAGGCAAGATTTCCCTTTCCAGAATGTTGATGTTTGTTTACAAACTTAATGTTGTGTGTGCATGCGCGCTCCTTGGTGGTGTATATAATCATTCATTCGACTTCTTACTACATATTAGACGGTTTCTGTGTGGATCAATATAACCATGTTTCCCAATATTACATTTTAATAACTGTGGAAGGTGACTTATGTTCGTTACTGAGCAGTGTCGGTACTTTGTCCTGTTACTGCTTGTTGGATGCCACGTCCAACACTCCTAAGTGAGTTGTCGTCTTTGCCAAAATTTAATGATTTTTGGACTTAGCCAAAACTTCTGATTTTTGGACTTAGTCAAATTTTCAGAGTTTGTGGACATGGCCGAATTTCCTCGTTTTTGGACTTCGTCAAGTTCCTTGTCTGGGAGAGCTAGACTTTCGAGAGGAAATTCAATGTCACATTACCAGATATTGTAACTCTAACGTTGCGAAGGCCTGTAACTGACAATGCTTTTTGTCAAGTCGATGTGGACTTGTACTTTTGTAGAGTAATTGACATTACTTTTTCAGTCATTGTGGACGCTGCTGAATGTAAGAAGAGTCTAGACTTTGCCATTTGTTGGTCCAGCTGGGCCTTAAGTAGAATAGTGTACCGCTATTGTTAGGTGACTGGCCCAGCGACCAACCCGTCCTCTTAAAAATAACGTCGCTTTTGGCTCGTATGCGCGCTATGGCCAAAAGTGGATGTAATTTGAAATGAAATCGACTCACAAAAGTGACGTACTGTCCCGTTTTCTGTTTGAGTCGTAAGGCTTACCCGGTAAGGTTAGAAGAGGAAACTTTCAAATAACGTTTTGAAACTTTATGAAAATTTCCTGCCCACCTAACGTACCAGAGAACCCTTAACTTAATGTTGTTGCAAAAAAAAAATCCCAAATTTATTTTCATTTTTTCTTCATTTTCAAATTACGTCCACTTTCGGCCATACGGGTAAACGGCCAAAAGCGACGTTATTTTTAATAGGACAGGTTTTAAAGCACAAGTCAAGCAGCTAGCTGAAGCTGCTTCACATATGCTTTTGTTAATATATTTATTAGTTGTGGAAATGTGTTGTAAATAGAGCGGTGACGTGTATATAAGATCGCCCCAGTAAACTGGTGGATTTTATTTACTTTAACTTTAGTCTAGACAACTTGTTCGGGCCAGGAGGCTTTATGCTGAATTACGGGAAGTTCTATGCTGCCAGCGATGCTGTGGGGCGTGATGACACGACACCACCTGAGGGCTGGGAGAGGGGCAGTAAACACCACCTGGGGGCTGGGAGAGGGACAGTAAACACCACCTGGGGGCAGGGAGAAGGGCAGTAAACACCACCTGGGGGCTGGGAGAAGGGCAGTAAACACCACCTGGGGGCAGGGAGAGGGGAAGTAAACACCACCTGGGGGCTGGGAGAGGGGCAGTAAACACCACCTGGGGGCAGGGAGAGGGGAAGTAAACACCACCTGGGGGCTGGGAGAGGGGCAGTAAACACCACCTGGGGGCTGGGAGAGGGGCAGTAAACACCACCTGGGGGCAGGGAGAGGGGCAGTAAACACCACCTGGGGGCAGGGAGAGGGACAGTAAACACCACCTGGGGGCTGGGAGAGGGAGAGTAAACACCACCTGGGGGCAGGGAGCGGGGCAGTAAACACCACCTGGGGACAGGGAGAGGGGAAGTAAACACCACCTGGGGGCTGGGAGAGGGACAGTAAACACCACCTGGGGGCTGGGAGAGGGACAGTAAACACCACCTGGGGGCTGGGAGAGGGACAGTAAACACCACCTGGGGGCTGGGAGAGGGACAGTAAACACCACCTGGGGGCTGGGAGAGGGTCAGTAAGCACCACCTGGGGGCTGGGAGAGGGACAGTAAACACCACCTGGGGGCTGGGAGAGGGACAGTAAACACCACCTGGGGGCTGGGAGAGGGTCAGTAAACACCACCTGGGGGCTGGGAGAGGGACAGTAAACACCACCTGGGGGCTGGGAGAGGGTCAGTAAACACCACCTGGGGGCTGGGAGAGGGTCAGTAAACACCACCTGGGGACAGGGAGAGGGGCAGTAAACACCACCTGGGGGCTGGGAGAGGGTCAGTAAACACCACCTGGGGGCTGGGAGAGGGACAGTAAACACCACCTGAAGGGGCTGGAAGTGAGGCAGTAAGCACCACCTGGGGGCAAGAAGAGGGGCATTAAACACCACCTGAGGGCTGGGAGAGGGACAGAAAACACCACCTGGGGACAGGGAGAGGGGCAGTAAACACCACCTGGGGGCTGGGAGAGGGTTAGTAAACACCACCTGGGGGCTGGGAGAGGGACAGTAAATACCACCTGGGGGCAGGGAGAGGGACAGTAAACACCACCTGGGGGCTGGGAGAGGGGCAGTAAACACCACCTGGGGGGCTGGGAGAGGGGAAGTAAACACCACCTGGGGGCAGGGAGAGGAGAAGTAAACACCACCTGGGGGCTGGGAGAGGGGCAGAAAACACCACCTGGGGGCTGGGAGAGGGACAGTAAACACCACCTGGGGGCTGGGAGAGGGGAAGTAAACACCACCTGGGGGCTGGGGGAGGGGCAGTAAACACCACCTGAGGGCATGGAGAGGGGCAGTAAACACCACCTGGGGGCTGGGAGAGGGGCAGTAAACCCCACCTGGGGGCTGGGAGAGGGGAAGTAAACACCACCTGGGGGCTGGGGGAGGGGCAGTAAACACCATCTGAGGGCAGGGAGAGGGGAAGTAAACACCACCTGGGGGCTGGGAGAGAGACAGTAAATACCACCTGGGGGCTGGGAGAGGGACAGTAAACACCACCTGGGGGCTGGGAGAGAGACAGTAAATACATCCTGGGGGCTGGGAGAGGGACAGTAAATACCACCTGGGGGCAGGGAGAGGGAACAGTAAACACCACCTGGGGGCTGGCAGAGGGGCAGTAAACACCACCTGGGGGCTGGCAGAGGGACAGTAAATACCACCTGGGGGCTGGGAGAGGGACAGTAAACATCTCCTGGGGGCTGGGAGAGGGACAGTAAACACCACCTGGGGGCTGGGA